ATTATTATATAGGATTTATATAGCGCCAAAAGTTTGCTCAGCGCTTTACTAAATGAAGGTAGACATTATAGTTACAATGCAATTTGGTACAAGAGGAAAAAGAGGGCCCTGTTTGTCAGAGCTTACAATCTAGGAGGAAGGGTTGAGTGATACAAAAGGTAATAGCTGTGGGGGGATGAGCTGATGGAGGAAATAAATGGCGGTTTACTACATAGAAGCAGGATAGACTTCTTTAAAGAGAAAGGTTTTCAGGGATCGTCTAAATGTGGATAGATTAGGAGATAGCCAGACAGATTGGGGTAGGGAGTTCCATAGGATGGGAGAAGCTCGGGAGAAGTCCTGGAGGTGAGCATGGGAGGAGGTGACATGGGAAATAGAGAGCAGAAGGTCTTTGATCTGTATATCATATTAGCCGTGAAACCCCTTACTGCACTCTTGGATGTATGGCAGGACTCCAAGCACACTCCTAAATATAAGGGGGAGCATCCCTCCTCCCTCCAAATGTAAGGAGGGACTCTGATGGACAGTCCTAAATGTAAGGGGACTCTTTATAAAACTTACTTTTTTCAGCCTGCAAATACTTGTAAAATATACAACGTGGCCCTTGTACTGACAAGTTTGGAGACCCAACAGTCTACAATGAAGAGCTGCTAATGCTGTGGTTGGGCATGCTCATTCATAAAGGAATTCGTAAAGTTTCAGAATCATATTGGAAATGTATTTGCAATAACTGTGTAGGAGAGGATGCCAAGTGCCAACTGTACAGAATAAATTCAAATGTATTTGTTCCTGGTGAAAACAAGGAAAAGTTATTTAAAATAAGCTATTCCATTTATTTTTACATCTATGCATGTATACCTACAAGACAGTAGGTTTTTATGATGTTTAGCTGTGTCCTTTGAATCTCCTACAATTACTGTACATGTAATAGTAATAAATATTATGCCCAGTAGGTGGCAGTAAAGATTCTTTACTTTGCAATCTTTATAATACTTGAGCTAAAGAATGCTTTTCATCAATGCTTTCCACATTTTAGTAGGCTATTTAATACCACATAGGTGTAATAATTTGAAACAAAACAGAATTTGTGCATAAAGTTTCCGCCCACAGAAAACTCATATATCACTTATGGACGTACACTGGTGGGCTAAAACGCCTGCGATCTTTTTATATCAACTGGAAGTCAAGCAGACATACCCTAGAGTTCCTCATTGTCAGTTCCACCAGCAGGAGAAAAGGCTTGTTCTAATTATTTCATTTTCTGTGAAGTGAGCTAAAATTCAGCCAGCAAGCTGCCCAGTAGGTGGACATAGAAACTTACAAAAAATGAAAATTTACTGTAGATACCCAGACCCAATATAGTAGTCAGTATGCATCACTGACTTCAAAGTTACTTTACAATTAATCTGCCTATCACAATAATTTTTACATTATTTTATAAGGAGATAAAAGGGTTTTTTTGGTATACTGTTTTAATAAATTATAATTCTGTATAAATGTTATAAGATAAATGGTAAATGGAGAAAAATGTTTACAAAAATGCATTTTTTACACTCACCAACTGATTGTTGTAATAGTTTTAACTAAAACATTTAATTTTCCTGTGTTTCACTTTACCAGCTGCAGCAAGTTGTCATTATGTGGGGTACAAGGACAGCTGAGTCAGTGGGGGTTTTTGTAAACAAACCCATGTGATCACTATGATCATAATGAAATCAGAGTGGTTCCCAACTGGTTCCCCTCTGTGCAGCCTGCATGCTGAATGGTGGTTTGCATGGAGAGCACACCTGAGCAGGCTATAGATGGCTTGGTACCCCTGTACCAAGAGATGAAAACACAAAGTGCAGGAATGGCAGGAGTATAGTGCAGCACTGGCTGCTGGTCTTACAGGCAAGTGGGACACATAATACATTCTTAATGTGTTTGTCACACTCCCATATATTTGCTGTGTAGTTGCCTTTAAGCGTCATGACATCAGAGTCCCTCCCCTATGCGTTACGCCATCGGGTCACGTGGCTTCATCAGGGGGAATTGATTGAATCTACAATATCACAGATTTTTCAAAGATATGCATGCAGCACCAGTGTGATTGCTATATCACACCATGGAAATATATCGGACTCAGTCACCTGTTTTAATTTGTTTTAATTTATTTAATATAATTTTATATATATATGTATATATGTTCATTTATACTGATAGTGGAGCGCAACACCACTGGTTTTGATTTTAAGGTGTTGAACTAACAGGGAGACAGGAGTATCTTAGCAGCAGTGTGATGCAGAGCTTACAAGAACACAGAGTTAACAATATGTATGAGATACATGGAAGTACACAGGGATCACAGGGAATGTAGGTACAAATGAATACAGAGCTGCAGATCTGTGATACAGAGACCCTGGAGAATAAAAGGTTGGTAGATGCAATCTATTTATGTCATACAATATTAGAGAAACTGTTTATCAAATGCACACTTTCATATAATAAAGTAATATGTAAATAAATACCCAAAATGTCAAGCTTTTTACTGTCTTCAGCTTGTGGACTCAAGCTGCTTCTAACGTAGATATTACAGTGCTGGAGGTGAAAAGGGTTAACATCCAGATCCACTTTCTGATAAAGAATTTTGCAGCCTAAGCTGCTTTTTTATTTATGTTTTTTAACTTTAAAGCAGGACTTCAGCCAAAAATAAGATACAGATGAATAGCCTATTACCTGCTTTAGTGCCACCTTATAGCAGAAATACTGCTACAGGGTGGCAGTGGTGTACAAAATCACGTATATATATAGGGAAATTCGCAGCCTCGCTTCCAATCACCGGCTCCCGGTGATTGCCGAGCATCTCCTACGGCAGTTCTCTCCCCTGCACACTGCTTTGCATGGCTGTGCACACAGTGAAGCACACACACTTAGTAAAATGGCACACAGTTAACACTTTGATCGCCCCACATGTTAACCCCTTCCTGCCCAGTACCATTAGTACTGTACTGGTGTCACTGGGAATGTCAGTGACACCAAGTCAATTCCCCCCCAGTATCAGAATGCCCACCGCAGTCCCACTATAAGTTGCTGATTGATTGCCGCCATTGCTAGTAAAAGAAAAAAAAAAATCCCAGTATATATACCGCCATTTGTAAACGCTATAACTTTCACGTAAAAAAAAAATTAATTTAAACGTATTGGGATTTTTTTTTTTTAGTAAAGACATGTAGCAGAATACATTTTGGTCTAAATTTGTGTTGAAATTAGATTTTTTTTACATTTTTTACTGGACATGTTTAATAGCAAAAAGTTAAAAATATTGTTTTTTTCTCAAAATTGTCAGGTTTTTTTTTATAGCGCAAAAAATAAAAACTGCACAGGTGATCAAATACCACCAAAAAAAAGCTCTATTTGTGGAAAAAAAAGGATATAAATTAATTTGGGTGCAGCGGTGCATGACCGCGCAATTGTCAGTTAAAGTAACGCAGCGACGTAATGCAAAAAAATGGTCTTGTCAGGAAGGGGAGTCAATCCTCTGGAGGGCAAGTGGTTAATAATATTCATAATAATAAAACATATAATAATTCTGTGACAACAGCATTATTTGTGCTGCATCAAGAAGGGATTAAAACAACAAAACCATTTTTGTTGGCTTTAATAAATCAATCCCATTTTTTTTTTTTTCCTGATACTAAAATCTTTAGTTGTATATTGGGACAGGAAGGACATTCATTCCACAAGAGTCTGTTGTGCTGCAAAAGGGAGGGCAAAGGGTTAAAAGATAAAACAACAAAACCAGTTTTTGTTGCAAGTTTTAGCTTTAATCAATCCTTTTTTCCTGATACTAGATATCTTTAGTTGGATGTTCAGTATCAATCCACTTTCTTTAAACTCAGGTTATCTTGGACGCACCTCATCTTATGGCTGAGCAGTGAAAGAAGCCGCACAGTGATAGGCTTATCTATTTTTTCCACTCTGCGTTCTCCCCCTATCAGCTTTCTTCTTGTCAGCACATGAACTGAATGGCTTCTTGTACTGCTTCTTCCTCTTAAGCTCCAGCCCTGCTGTACAGGGACTTCAGGATGCTAATAACAGGTCAAATCAGGTACTAACACTACTTGCATTTAAAATTCATGTAATTATGTATTAATGAGTAAAAAGCTGCATTCATTTTTGAATTTTAAAACTGCTTAAGGTTCAGCTGTAGACAATGTACTATAAATGCGAAATGTTTACTAGGAATTTTTTACATGGTTCAGTATTATGCAGAGGTTCACAGATATTTCAGTTCTCCCAGGACCTGAGTCCTGATGACCACTAAGCCTATTCCAAAGTAAAACATGGTTTATGTCTTACAGTTGGAAAAAAGTTACATAGTTCCCAATTGCTCCCCATTTGGAGACACTGTCGCTCTTTTGAAACCAAATCTCTATGTCCCTCATTCTTCCTCCCTTGTTCCTCTTTTTTAGTTTCTATAAGAAATGTACTATTTAACTACCAAAAATGTTATACTACTGGATTCCTTTTAACAAACCTCTTTATTATTGCATTTGTCATATCAAAATACCAAAATAAATGAAATTTAGAAGTTAAAAAAGTACTTGTGAGTTAAAAGTGATACTAAAGGCTTTTTTTTTTAACCACTAGCCTACAGGGCACTTATACCCCCTTCCTGCCCAGGCCAATTTCCAGCTTTCAGCGCTGTCACACTTTGAATGACAATTGCGCGGTCATGCAACACTGTACTCATATGACATTTTTATCCTTTTTTGTGACAGATAGAGCTTTATTTTGGTGGTATTTAATCACCTCTGGGTTTTTTTTTTTTCTTAAACAAACCAAAAACCTTTTTGTTATAAAATTTTGTAAATAAGTGATTCTTCTCCTTCACTGATTTGCGCTAATGAGGCTGCAGTGACGGGCACTGATAGGCTGCACTGATGCACACTGATAGGTGGCACTGATGAGCACTGATGAGGAGGCACTGGTAGGTGGCACTGATGGGCATTGACAGGCATCATTGATGGGCACTGAAAGGCAGCACTCATATATGGCACTGATAGGCAGCACTGACTGGCACTGTTAGGTGGCACTGACTGGCACTGTTAGGCAGCACTGATAGGCAGCACTGACGGGCACTGATGCACACTGATAGGCGGCACTGACTGGCACTGATAGGCCGCACTGACTGGCACTGATGGGTGACACTGAAAGGCAGCTCAGATGGGCACTGATATGTGGCATTGATGTGCACTGGTAGGCACTGAAATGTGGCACTGATGGGCACTGGCAGGTGGCATGGATGATCACTGACAGCTGGCACTGATGGACACTGACAGGTAGCACTGCTGGGGCTACACAGATCATCAGCGTAACAGCTCATGAGGAGAGAAATGCTCATAACCAGCATTTCCCTGTTTACATGTGATCAGCTGTGATTGGACACAGCTGATCACATGACCGAGCCGACATCTTTGGCTCTTTCCATTGATCGGTGATCTGCTGTGTCCAAGGGACACGGCGCACCACAGATCGCCACACTGCGGGCTCCCAGAGCCGCGCATACGCGGTTAGAATGGCAGGACGTCATATGACGTCCTCCCAGAATGAGAGAACTGCCTTGCCATCATTGTACTATATGGTGGGTGGGAGGCGGTTAAATAACAAACACATCATACTTACTTGCTGTGTGCAGTTGTTTTGCAAAGAGCAGCCCTGATCCTCCTCTTCTCGGGCCCCCCAGTCGTGCTCCTGGCAACACCCTCCTGTCGGGTTCCTCCACAGCAAGCAGCTTGCTATGGGGGCACCCGCTGCTTTGTGTGTCCATTCACACAGGGTGCCGTAGCTTGGCCCCACCCCCTCTTTTCTCATTGGCTCACTGGTTGTGATTGACAGCAGCGAATGTCTCAGCCAATGAGGAGAGGGAGTCCTGGGATAGCCAAGACTTCAGTGCACAGGTTTTTTACTTTCATGCATAGAGCCTTGAGCCTTTACAACCACATTAAGCAATCATTTTTAAGTATTAGTTCTTCATGATCAACATAGTAACCAATCAGCTTCCAACTTCAGCTTTACAATTAAGCTTTGACAATACAACCTAGAAGCTGATCAGTTACTTTGCACAGCTGCATCAGATTCTTTGTGCTCCAGTTTTAATAAATACCCCCAATATGACCAACGTATAAGATTCCCTACACATGGCTAATTTTAAAGCTTGTCTTGAAACAAAGAATGCTAGGCATACTTTTTGAATGCAAACTTTGTTTTAAAATGCTCTGTGATAATTCAGCTCTGTGATTATGCACATTTTTGTTACTTTTTTACATTTACTTTTTTTAAGTTATGTAACTGTCCAAATTTCACTTGCAGTCCCTGTACAGCAGAACACAGAGAGGAAGAGGGAGAAGCAGCACAAAGAGCCAACCAGGTGTGCTGCAGTCCAAGGAGAATGCTGATAGAAGAAGACAGCAGAGTGGTAGGGAGATGAGATCAGTCTGCTGCTTTTTTTCCTTCACCACTCTGTAATATGATCGGGGTAAGAAGGGGATCTGTAAGTAAAAGTGAAACTGCAGCAAAAAGCTCCTAGGCTGTGCTGTAGGTAGAGCAGTGTAAATCTAATCATTTGCGTATTGCCATCAAGTCTGTACCAATATTCTCTCCAAACTAGTTTGGAATGTTGTTGCCTAGTCAGCAAAAAGTGAGAAGAAATGTGATAACAAATGATTGATTTTTAACATTTTGAATCAGGAATTCCCTACTGTGTCCCATAGGCTTACTCTTTTTTTTTCTAACAATCACTGTATACATATTGTACGTATTGCAGTCTTCTGTTCCACAACAACTGCTGCTACATGGAAAGAAGAATTATTTCTCTCTCTGATGACTTTCCTAGCTTCATTCCTAGGTGATCAAGAGCTCTGCATGTTTCCAAAGGGCCTTTCCAGAGAGCACAACTTCATCTGTCAGAATGACTCATGCTCCAATTGATTCTTCGTAATCAGCTGGAAAAAAAGCTGCAAGCTGGTTCTTTCTTTATGGTTCCTGCAGTTAGCAACCTCTCATCAAAACCGTACTGGTCAGTTAATAGGGTTATTATAGCATTCTGGTGCGTCACTGCGCATCAGTAATAACAGTAATAATAACACATAGATTTGAAGTAAATTAACTACTTTTAATGCACCTATTATGGAAGTTAAAGTTGAACTCTGGGCAGACATAACAGACACCAAATAATGCAACACTGTAATCATTAATACATAATTAAATCTATTTTAAATCCAAGCAGTAAGTGCCTGAGTTTGACTTGGTATCAGACTTTTGCAGTCCTTGTAATACTGGGGTAGACAACCTTTGAGAGGTAGAGACCTTGGACAACATGGTGGAGATTAAAGTTCTCTTGATTCCCTTTATGTTTTTTTAAGGAGTTAACTTGCAACCCCCCCGTAAAAAGTAAGAACAAGGACGACACAGAGAAAACTTTGAAAAATATAATAAAACTAATGTCACTGTAAAATTATAAACGTAAAGCCTATCTTAAAAGTTAGTGACCCCCAGGAGATACAGGCGTCCATCATGAGGGTAGAACCACTGCAACTCCAGGCTCAACCAGAGGCGGACTGACCATTGGGGAACTCGGGCAGTGCCCGAGGGCCCGGGGCCATGAGATGTCACTGGTACATTTCATAGGCTTTTTTGGTGTGGTTTGAGTGTGGGCGAGGACACAGGGGCCCCATGATCTCCTATTGCCCAGGGGCCCCATGAGATGTCAGTCCGCCCCTGGGCTCAACTAGTTTCAGGCCTTGCTGTCTGCTCTGAGTTCTGGCCAGTGTAAGTAGTAGGTAGAGTAGTGTAAAGAGGTCAGTGGTAGGTAGGGCAATGTACAGAGGTCAGTGGTAGGTAGGGCAGTGTACAAAGGTCAGTAGTAGATAGGGCAGTGTACAGAGATTAGCAGTATGTAGGGCAGTGTACAGAGGTCAGCAGTATGTAGGGCAGTGTACAGAGGTCAGTAGTATGTAGGGCAGTGTACAGAGGTCAGTAGTAGGTAGGGCAGTGTACAGAGGTCAGCAGTATGTAGGGCAATGTACAAAGGTCAGAAGTAGGTAGGGCAGTGTACAGAGGTCCGCAGAGTGTATGGCAGTGTATAGAGGTCAGTAGTATGTAGGGCAGTGTACAGAGGTCAGTAGTAGGTAGGGCAGTGTACAGAGGTCAGCAGTATGTAGGGCAATGTACAAAGGTCAGAAGTAGGTAGGGCAGTGTACAGATGTCCGCAGAGTGTATGGCAGTGTATAGAGGTCAGTAGTATGTAGGGCAGTGTACAGAGGTCAGTAGTATGTAGGGCAGTGTACAGAGTAGTATGTAGGGCAGTGTACAGAGGTCAGCAGTATGTAGGGCAGTGTACAGAGTAGTATGTAGGGCAGTGTACAGAGGTCAAGAGTATGTAGGGCAATGTACAGAGGTCAGCAGTGCGTAGGGCAGTGTACAGAGGTCAGTAGTATGTAGGGCAGTGTACAGAGGTCAGTAGTACATAGGACAGTGTACAGAGGTCAGCAGAGTGTATGGCTGTGTATAGAGGTCAGTAGTATGTAGGGCAGTGTACAGAGGTCAGTAGTATGTAGGGCAGTGTACAGAGGTCAAGAGTATGTAGGGCAATGTACAGAGGTCAGTAGTACGTAGGGCAGTGTACAGAGGTCAGTAGTATGTCGGGCAGTGTACAGAGGTCAGTAGTAGGTAGGGCAGTGTACAGAGGTCAGCAGTATGTAGGGCAATGTACAAAGGTCAGTAGTAGGTAGGGCAGTGTACAGAGGTCAGCAGTATGTAGGGCAATGTACAAAGGTCAGTAGTAGGTAGGGCAGTGTACAGAGGTCAGCAGTATGTAGGGCAATGTACAAAGGTCAGTAGTATGTAGGGCAGTGTACAGAGGCCAGTAGTATGTAGGACAGTGTACAGAGGTCAGCAGAGTGTAGGGCAGTGTACAGAGGTCAGCAGAGTGTAGGGCAGTGTACAGAGGTCAGTAATATGTAGGGCAGTGTACAGAGGTCAGTAATATGTAGGGCAGTGTACAGAGGTCAGTAGTATGTAGGGCAGTGTACAGAGGTCAGCAGTATGTAGGGCAATGTACAGAGGTCAGTAGTATGTAGGGCAGTGCACAGAGGTCAGTAGAATAATTACTAAAGTACAAATTAATAGAAGCACAAGTAGCATAGTCCTATTTGTAACAATTTGTTTATATCTATTTTGCCTTCCTAACATCCTCTGGAAGCTACTGGGCTTCAGATTGCGAAACACAATGACATACCCCTCCCTCCAATTTTACTTTCTAACAAAAATTGATTTGCTTGCTTTATCTATAGCCAAATGTAGTTGTACTAGCAGTAGAATGGGATTATTGGTTTGTGAAGATGTAAGGACAGAAACAAAATGATGTATTTAAAGCATTTGGTATTCCTAAAATGAGATTGCAGAAAAATAAATATACTTACAACATGATGATATTGGTACGCTAATAGCCAAGAATATCCAGGCAATATCCACTTTGCTTAGGCAAATAGTTTCTCGGTGTGCTGGTTGACTGCCCTCCTCTGTTACATGTGAAATGTTTCCAGGAGCCCCAGGTTTCCAAGTTCCAGCAGGTACCAGCCTGTTGAGGAAATTCCCAGTAGCTGTAGATCCAGTTGTAGACATAGTTATGGAATTCTTTGTGGTGGCATCAGTTGGCACAGTCAAGTCTAATGTGGTAGTTTGTTCTGATACTGTATGAGGCTTGATGACAGTTTCCTTGCTGCTTTCAATCACAGGTATGGTGCTTTTAGAATCCATAGAAGTCTGCAGAGATGTTGGTAACGTAGTCATTCTTGTAATGGCAGGAGAAGTTCCATTCTTCCCTGGTCTAATGGAGAACAAGGAACCATTGCGATTTAACACATCCCATAATTTATAATGTGGAGTTTTAAAAGGCACAGACACTGATTCAGTATTCTTTGACATTTCACTAGCAAGAGTAGGTGAATTTTCAGGAGAAAGGCTTTGCAGAGTGCCAGCACGAAGTAAAGAGTCTTTATGAAAAGCAAGAATAGTGCTAGTATGGTCATTCGTAGTTGTAGTCCTCATTGGAAAGCCTGTAAAAAGCTCAGGTTTGAGGTAAGGTTCTGTAGACCCAAACAACCCATCTGTCACGTTTCCAAATGCTTTCTGCACAATTCCTGAATGTGTAACACCCTGAACACTGCTGAAAAATGGCGTGGTTGTAAGCCTGGCATTGTATTTAACAGCTTTGTTGCGAAGTGGAGGCCCTGTGTCTGAAGATTTCACAGACTGCCGATTGCCAGATTTTGTAGATTTCCGAAAAGGATTAAAAGTAACACCTGGTGTCACCATTTCTGCATTTGTAGTCGTTTCCTTCAGAATCTGGTAAGATGGTAAGGTTGGATGCTGTTCGTTAACCGCAAATACTTTTTTATCCGCTTGTGCCAAAACAAGTAGAACACCTAAGAAAGAGAATATTTGACATTTAATAAAACATGTTTGGAGATGTGATTTAAACATGGCATAAATATTATCTAGCTGAAGCCTCATAAGGTTTACCAATACTTCTCAGATTGGCAGGAGTAGCTAGAACAGGTCATGTCTACACAACTGAAGAGCTACAAATTGTCATTTCTTGTATAAAACTGAAATCCCAGCAAACAACTAAATTCTGTACACAGTTGAAATGCAAATATATGGACTGTTTTAACTGCCGAAAAATGACTGTTCATCCAGTTTAGTGAACACTACACACCTGTGGTGGGCGACCTCATTTTTCTCCATTGCAGTTGGTAATACAATATGGTTATATTATCCAATAAGTCTGGGATTGGACAATGATGAAGAAGCAACACTGATAAGGTCTCCTGCTGTACGCATGTTTAAATTGTGATTGACAACACCATGATTCAGAGTGCAGACCATTACTCTCCCAGAGTCTTGCTGTGCAAAGGAATATGGGAAGCTGATTTCAGGAAATTCAGGCAATTATGCTAACTCTACTATGATTTTAATGAATCAAAAACTGGGTTAAATAATGTTTTAATATATGTTTTAATATGTTTTAATATATGCCTGGAGTTCAGCTTTTAAAGGACGCTACCCAATTAAAATATTGACTTTCACTGGAAATGAATAGCTGCAAAAAGCCTTCCATTTCTTTTACTTTAATTACATTATGTTTATTTATATCCTTTCTTTGTTTACCTGTTTGTGTTCGTTTAACCACTTGCCCTCCAGAGGATTTATCCCCCTTCCTGACCAGGCCATTTTTTGCGATACGGCGCTGCATTACTTTAACTGACAATTGCGCGGTCATGCAACACTGCATCCAAATGAAACTTATGCCACTTGTTTCCCACAAGTAGATCTTTCTTTCAGTAGTATTTGTTTTCCTGTGTGGGTTTTTTTTTTGCACTATAAAAAAAAAGGCTGACAATTTTGAGAAAAAAAACAATATTTTTGACTTTTTGCTATTAAACATGTCCAGTAAAAAAATTTAAAAATCAAATTTCGTCATAAATTTAGTCCAAAATGTATTCTGCTACATATCTTTACTAAAAAAAAAATCCCAATACATGTAAACTTAATTGGTTTACGTGAAAGTTATAGCGTTTACAAATGGCGATATATACAGTTGCAAGAAAAAGTATGTGAACCCCTTGGGATTACGTGGAGTTTTGCATGAATTGGGCATAAAATGTGCTCTGAACGTCATCTAAGTCACAACAATAGAAGAACACAGTCTGCTGAACATAATACTACACAAACATTAGATGTTGCCATGGTTTAATTGCACATAACATGTAAACATTCACAGTGCAGGGAGGAAAAAGTATGTGAGGCCCTAGCTTAATGACTTCTCCCAGAGCTAATTGGAGCCAGGAGTGAGCCAACCTTGACTCCAATCAGTGTGATAATATTGGATGTGTTGCTGACAGCTGTCCTGCCCTTAAAAAACACACACCTGTTTTGGGTTAACTGGTTTCAAGAAGCACTGTCTGATGTGAACCATGCCTCGCAGAAAAGAGCTCTCAGAAGACCTACGATCAAGAATTATTGACTTGTATGAAGCTGTAAAGGGTTACAAAAGTATCTCCAAAAGCCTTGATGTTCTTGTGTCCACGGTAAGACAGACTGTCTACAAATGGAGAAAGTTTAGCACTGTTGCTACTCTCCCTAGGCGTGGTTGTCCTGTAAAAATGACTGCAAGAGCACAGCGCAGAATGCTGCATGAGGTAAAGAAGAATCCCAGAGTGTCAGCTAAAGACCTACAGAAATCTCTGGGTCATGCTAACATTTTTGTTGACACATCTACAATAAGGAAAACATTAAACAAGAATGGAGTACATGGGAGGACACCACGGAGGAAGCCATTGCTGTCCAAAAAGAATATTGCAGCACGTTTGAAGTTTGCAAAAGAGCGCCTGGATGTTCCACAGCACTACTGGCAAAATATACTGTGGACAGATGAAACCAAGATTGAGTTATTTGGGAAGAACACACAACACTATGTGTGGAGAAAAAAAGGCACAGCACACCAACATCAAAACCTCATCCCCACTGTAAAACATGGCGGAGGGAGCATCATGGTTTGGGGCTGCTTTGCTGCCTCAGGGCCTGGACGGATTGTTGTCATTGATGGGAAAATGAATTCCAGAGTTTATCAAGACATTTTGCAGGAAAACGTACGACCATCTGTCAGCCAACTGAAGCTCCGCAGAGGATGGGTGATGCAACAGGACAATGACCCAAAGCATACAAGTAATTCAACAAAACAATGGCTGCAACAGCACAGAATACGCCTTCTGGAGTGGCCCAGTCAGAGTCCTGACCTCAACCCGATTGAAATGCTGTGGCATGACCTTAAAAGAGCGATTCACACCAGACATCCCAAGAATATTGCTACACTGAAACAGTTTTGTGAAGAGGAGTGGTCCAAAATTACTCCAGATCGTTGTGCAGGTCTGATCTGCAACTACAGGAAACGTTTGTTTGAGGTTATTGCTGCCAAAGGAGGGTCAACCAGTTATTAAGTCCAAAGGTTCACATACTTTTTCCTCCCTGCACTGTGAATGTTTACATGTTATGTGCAATTAAACCATGGCAACATCTAATGTTTGTGTAGTATTCTGTTCAGCAGACTGTGTTCTTCTATTGTTGTGACTTAGATGACGTTCAGAGCACATTTTATGCCCAATTCATGCAAAACTCCACGTAATCCCAAGGGGTTCACATACTTTTTCTTGCAACTGTATACTGGGATTTTTTTTTTATTTTTACTAGTAATGGTGGCGATTATAGCGGGACTGCGGTGGGTATTCTGACACTGGGGGGAACTGACTGGTGTCACTGACATCTCCAGTGACACCAATACAGTGATCAGTGCTAACAAAAAGCACTGACACTGTACTAATGACACTGGGCAGGTAGGGATTAACATCTGGGGTGATCAAAAGGTTAACTGTGTGCTGTTTTACTGTGTGCTGTGTGTGTGTGTGCTTCACTGTAAGCACACTGCTATGCATGGCTCTGCTATGTAAAGCCATGCATAGCAGTGTGCAGGAGCTGACAGAGGATAGAACTGCATTGTTTAACAGTTCTCTCCCTCCGTCGGTAATCTTCCTCGATCACCGGGTACCGACGAGTAATCACTGGCCAGGACCCGGTGATTGACAGCTGAGGCCGCTAATAACGGTGCGGGTAGGGCGTGTGCCCCCTTCCTGAAAATGCAAAATTACATGTGATTTTGTGCACAGGGCGGCCAGGAAATGGTTAAAAGTGCATCCTACCCCACTTAAAATGAACACATAAGATTTAAAATGTATCTAAACCCAAGAACAAAAATATAATATAGTGTATCTTACCATCACAGGTATTTCTGAGGGCAAGATATAATGAACTGATGAAGAAATAACTGTTAACAGGGTAACGGGTGAAACAAGATTACACACTTAAAGCGGAGCTCCACACAAAAGGGGAAGTTCCGCTTTAAGCCTTTGTCCCCTCTCCCCATGAAGGATTGTCACCTTTGGGGAGCGGGTACCTGAATTTGACAGGTGCCTGCTCCCACTTCCGCTGTGATTGCCTGGTGATAGGAAGCTGAAGTTGTCCTCCCCCCCCCCTCTCGTGACAGGTCCCAGAAGACTACGGGACCATTTAGGAAGTGCAGCGTTTCTCGCACATGCGCAGTGGGCACCCGGTTGTGAAGCCGCAAGCTGTCACACAGCCTACACTGAAGATGCCGGCACCAGGGAGAGAAGATAGCCAGTGAAACCAGCGGTGGTAAGAACATCGCTGGACCAAGGGGCAGGTAAGTGTCTATTTTAAAAGTCTGCAGCTACAGTTTTTGCAGCTGCTGACTTTTATTTTTTTTTCAACAATACTACCAGCCACAGACCCATCCATGCCACACTCAGGGAGCAGAGAATTACCTCTTATTCACTACTTATAGGGATGTAAATGCTAAATTGTTGACACTCGTGTAACAAGACAAAACGCAGTCTTAATACTCCATCTCCAAAAGATGAACTATAACTGGGGACAGCGTCATTATCAACAAATAAAATGGAGCCCCACCATGTTCTTAGAGTAAAAAGAAAGCTTATACTGCAAAACTCCTGAAGAGTTGGCTCCTGAAGACCAAATTGCTCAACTCTGGAATTACGCCACTGCATTGTTTTTTTAGCTGTGCAAACCACCATCTGACTGTGATAGCAGCCCAGTAATTCATTTGGAAATTGGGTATTGCCATACCGCCATAAAGTGTGGCTAACCCCAGCAAAGTCCAATTCCAGATGAATGTGCTTGTGCATTGGTCTATCTACCTGATGATCTTCTCTGGAATCCAGACAAGACAATGTCTAAGCACATAATTAAATTTGGGTAAAAACGCCACTTTTATTTGATTGACATGTCCCATCAGGTTCTGGGAGTAACATTTATCACATAGTTGCTGTAAAAGGGAGGTGAGATTTAGAGTGAGAAAGTTGTGTACTGCCCTATTCATCGTAATACCCAAATATTTAAAATTATCCACCCATTTAAGAGTGGAGAAGACTCTTGACTCCTTAGCTCCTGGATCTAGGGGAAAAAACAATGACTTAAACCAAATAATAGTTCAATGTGTAATAGTACAGTTCTCAGAATGCCCTCTGCACACTTATGATGAAGTCTCCAAATCCTCCTGTCTACTAGGGTGCCTGTGTCCTCTAAGGTTCTTCCTTGGAAATTGTGTGCTGGTCCCTTTAAAGCTGTGCTGTCATGTTAGGTTACTCTAGCAACATGTCAAAAAAAAGGTAAAGAACATCCTCCAATAGTGAAGTAGAATGATACACACTTTATTTAGGTATATTGTCAGTAACCCGGATATGACCAGAGACGTGTGGACTGACACGGGGAACACCAGGCTTCAGGAGTGATGAAAACAATACAATTTATTTGTGAGACACCAATATACAACGCACAGTGCAAACAAAAGCTAGATAACAAAAACCTTCACCCTATATATACATGAACAGTAATCAAGCGTAGTCAGGCTAGCCGGGGTCATACACGGGAGATCAACCATGGGACGCAGAGGAAGACGGGACACAGAGCAGGTAACGGGTAGCAGAGGCTCAAGGGAACAACACCAAGGCCCTGCTTGCAGGCCTGGTTGCTGTTTAAATACACCTCCTGCAATCAGCCTCAGGTGATGACTTCATTGCAGGAGGTCAGATCCTGGCTGCTGAAAAGGCACTCCCTGGTATGTCCTGGTACTGCAACCAGCAGTGAGTCCTTTCCTGACATATATAGTTATAAATATATATATTTATAGTTAAAACTGCACTCACAATGTGGTATAATCAGCTAGCATGTCAAAATAATGTACAGGAATAAAGCTACTGCACTGCAAAACGTCACTTTCGGTCCGCAATTACACAAGCTTCACCCTACGCGTTGCATCACGGGTCACGTGACTTCATCAGGGAAGTATTTGTTTTTAACAAGCATGCACTATTTATAAGTACAGCATCTTTTGCTAAGTATATGACTATTTATTTTATTGTATGCACACCTCTTACACTTTAACATATTGATTTTGCACAGATTTATGCAATAATTTGAGGTTGGTTGAAGTAAAGGTAGCTCAGCACTAAACATCATATTTTATTCTATAATCATATTCTATGACGAGTCACATAACCAGCCTGAAGACTTCAGAAAAATGTAGGTATGAAAAAAAACAGGGCATAACATTTGAGCTGGAGGCCTCCAGGGGGTCAGGGCCGTGGATAAGGGTGTACCACTAGTCCTCCTGTACAGGGCCCAGGCCAGTAAAGGGGCCCAGGCAGCTGAGTGAATTGGATGAGCAGGGAGAGCAATCATCACGGGGGGGGGGGGGGGGTAATTATTGGAACCGATCCCCTGTATGGCTTGCCGTGAAAGTCGACTTCTTCTCTTCTCCCTCCTGCTGGCTTTTAGCTGCTGCAGAGAGAGCCATACAGAGGATCACTTCCAGTAATTGACCCCCAGTGCAACTATTAACCTTTCTGTGCACCAAACATTTCTCCTTGCTGCCCAGGTTCACCTGTGTGCACCCCCACCCGCAGTGCTGCCGGCTTCCCTCCTCTCCTTCCCACAAGCAGCTGCAAGCACACAATAAGACCCTTCAGGATGGAAAGTGGGGGAAGGATCCAGTAAATATGTCACATTTACCAACCCCTTCCTTTCCTGAATGAACAAGATGAGTGATCAGTACCGATCACTCATTGTGTTCATTTATACGTAAAGCATAGTAAAATGTGTTTATTTGGAGGGGCCCTGTCACATTGGCTATATGGGGCCACATGGTTTCTAACAGCAGCCCTGCTGGGGATAAAGGGGATTGGAAATGCTGAACTGGAACAAATATGTAGATCAGGACAGACAGAAGTCCTTTCAGCATACTGGTTCTGCTCATTGAATTAATGTACTGAAATAGGAGGGTCAGCATAACTGTCAGGCACCTAGCATTTGTAGAATGAGACATCAGCAATGGTTTTAGTTTTAGAGTGGTAAATAACCCCGGGTAGTTTTTGCTGCTATCTGGGACTGGAAAATGGTATAGTGCCAAAAATAAAAACCGCAGAGGTAATCAAATACCACTGAAAGAAAGCTTCATTTGTGGGAAAGAAGGACATAAATTTAATTTGGGTGCAGTGTTGCATGACCGCACAATTGTCAGTTAAAGTATGCAGCGCCGTCATGCAAAAAATGGCTTGGTCAGGAAGGGGAGTAAATTCTCTGGAGGGCAAGTGGTTAACTGGTGTCTGACCAAAGTAACCAATATGTGTGCATCTGATCACTGTAGGGTGGTAACTAGTAAACACCTTTAAGGGCAAGTACTGATCAGGCTGCAAAATACTTTTTGATATTTTTGGAGGTGCTGTATATAAATCCAAGACGTAATAATAGTTACCTGTACTAGATTTGCACACACTTGTTAGAAAACAAATATGCATACATTTGTGATGACCCAAATAAAGTTTAAGGGCCAGTTCACACTACTTGTGTTTCAGTGTGTTTTTTTCTGCATCCAAAATGCACAGAAAGTAGGTTATATGATTTTCAATGTCGTAGTTCACATCAGTGCTTGCAGTCCCAGTGCATTCCAGTTGCAGAAAAAAAAAGTAGAACCGGCTGCATTTTCTTCTGCACAAAACTGTACTGGAACACAGTAAGTCTGGGTTTACACCTAAACATTTTGCGGTGCATTTTGCAGAAATGCACTACAGTCCATTTAACATGATTTCCTATGAAACATTATTATTATTATTATTATATACAGTATTTATAAAGCGCCAATACCAATACAATGCAAAACATGAGGGGATCGAGGGCCCTGCATTTTCGAGCTTACAATCTAGGAGGGAGGAGATAGTGGTACAGGAGGAGATAGCTGTGGGGGATGGGATGGTAGGAAGAGTGGAGGAGGTCGGCAAGTTAGCAGGGGGTGGGGTAGGCTTCCCTGAAGAGATGGGTTTTCATGGTACGCCTAAAGGAGAGGGGAGTAGGTGATAATCTGATGGGTTGGGACAGGGAGTTCCAGAGGATGGGTGACACCCTGGAGAAGTCCTGGAGGCGGGCATGGGAGGAGGAGACCAGGGAACTAGAGAGAAGGAGGTCTTGTGAGGAGCGGAATGTGCGTGCTGAGCGGTACTAGGTCAGGATATTAGGTCAGTGATGTAGTTCGGGGCAGTATGGTGGACAGCTTTGTATGTCAGTGTTAGGATTTTGAATTTGATCCGTTGCGCAATCGGAAGCCAGTGGAGGGATTGGCAGAGGGGGGTGGCGGAAACAGAGCGGTTGGAAAGGTGAATGAGTCTGGCAGCCGTATTCAGGATCGACTGAAGCGGGGATAGCCAGCGGCGAGGCAGGCCAGTGAGGAGGGAGTTGCAGTAGTCAAGTCGTGATATGATGAGGGAGTGGATGAGCTGTTTAGTGGTTTCTGGGGTTAGGAACGTGCGTA